TAAATATGTTAAAGCAACCTAAAAAGATGTAGTACTAAGTTAGAATGAGAAATTTATTCACTTTAACTATCAAATACCTCACATAATTCTTTTTTATTTTCCTAAATTATTACAAAATTTCAAACAAATCATTTCTATTCATTTCTTTCAAATAAGTAACTCTCATAATAACTATAAAATTTTTTAAAAACAAAGTCACTATCCAATATTAATTAAAATATTCAAGGCAACAATATTACTAAATAGTCATTGATTAATATTCAATCGTTAAAAAAAAGTTATAAAATTAGCTGAAACAAAACATTAAGATATAACAAAAAATAAAACACATAAATATTTTTATTATTTTGTTTTAAAAGATGTATTATATGAACAAAGTACCTTTTTTTTTCTTACACAATGATAGATAAATTAATACACAACAAGAAAATGTTCAATCTAAATTAAAAATAATACACATTATTATAAAAACTCTCTAAAAATACTTAAAGAAGGATTTTATTAAAAAAAACATCTTCTATATTAAGACTGAGAAGGTTGAATGTAAAGATAAAAATATTTTAAAGTTATGAAAAGATTTAGAATATTTCTACTTATTTAAAAAATTTCAATATTACTCATTAAATTTCAATTTAGAGGATTTGTTAAAATGATAAAAACTGAAAATAGAATAAATTTATAATAAGTAAAAAAATCTATCTAGAACAATAAAATAAATTATAACTAATAATTATAAAAAATTTAATATATAAGTTTATTAATATTTTTTATAAGAATTATAAAACGTTGAACTTTGAGTTTGGTATTATTTAGCTGTATTAATTGGAGAAGAATTTCTTTGTTAGATTGAACCAATATAATTTTTATAACCTCTTTTTAAATTTCTTTCAAATTATACTTATTCTTCTTACAAAACAACTTATACATATTGATAAATTATTAAACTTTAGAATAATTAATGTTTTGTAGATATAAATTAAGACAATCTCCAGTAAATTATCTTCAAAAGAAAAAAAAATTAAACAAAACAACTGAAGATACAAGAAATAAGAATAAAAATAAATTGAAAACTAATATGAGTAGAGTCATAAACCATTTATAAATAACTTTAATTAAATAGATGTATAAATGTGTTATATAAATAAAAAAATAAGTATTAAAATACAAAAGTCAATGTAATACAAAGTAGTTGTCATCTGTTTAATGAATTAGAAAATTTAATTCATTCAAAAATAATTGTTCATAGAAAGTAATAAAAGATAGTAATAATTATATAGAAGTATAACAGAAAATGTTCAAAATGACACACAACAAGTTATGAATAATATTACTCATGCTTTTTTTCAAGACAATGTATTCAATAAATTTACCAAATCACTTTAAATAAAGTAAATTACAAGATATTTCACCATATAAAGTAATAATCAATATAAATGAATGAAATTAATACAAACGAAGAATAATAAGAAAATAAAAAACCTTAAACAGTAATTATAAGTTATTTTCTCAATTAATTATTATAAACAAATATCCTAAAGAACATTTTATAAGAACAAAGAATGAAATAATACTATTCAGTTCTTATTTTTGATGATTTACAAATAATAAACAATGTTCAGAAATAGAAGGAAGAACAAAAAGAAATTCTTCTTTTAAATTATTTTTATTACTTAGTATAAGAATAATTAATAAACAACAATTACATAAAAAACGATTAAAGTTAAATTCAAAACAATCAGCAGCTCACATTTGAACCAATTATTTTTTCAAATAATGAAGTTTCACCAAAATTTAAAATGTATTCTTTAACAACAAATCCCTTTGTAACAGTCTTAAAAGTCTTTGTAATAAAAGAATCATCGCTAATTTGAATATATCCACCAACATTACAACATTCACCCATATAATTTGGAGCACTAAATACAGTACAAAGTAAAGGTGTTTCTTCTACTAAATAGTACATACATTGATAACCAGAATTAACATATTGATGACCACGAATTATGGTTGTAATATTATTTTTTTCATTAAATTGTTTTAAAGCAGAATAACCAATTTTATGTCCATACCTTCTAACCCAATTAGGAACAAAAGTGGTTTCAAACCAAGGCACTACTCTGTTTATTGCTTGCTCATTGAAATACATTTTTAATGACTGTTTAATAAATGGGAAATGATTACTTTGACATGAACTTAAATGAGAAGTAATTGATGTATCACCTATACTAACAGAAAATATTTCATCTTCATTTAAAGGGTCAGACCATAATAAGTCTTCTAATGGTGAATCACGTGTTGGTTCACAAAATCTATTTAATTTATTAATATCATCTATTGTTGCTAATCTATCAGAAATACCTCCATGCACACAAAAATAGCGAGAATGTAATGTAGAAACTAAACAACATAATGGAAGACATTGAAATGTATAAATAAAAGAATTATAAACGTCCTCGTTGTATTTCATTAAACATTCATTCTTAAATTGGTTTTGAGTTGTTACAGAACGAGTTTCATGATTTCCACGTAAAATAATGAACCTTTAAAAGTTATTAACCAATAACAAGAATTATATGTTTAAAATGAAATAACAAACTGACTTGGAAACACTACCTTTAATGAACATAATAACAAAAATAATTCTACCCCATAATCTCCTCGATCTACATAATCTCCTAAACAAACATAACGTCCAGATGAAACTGTTGAAAAAAAGTTTAAAAGATCATAAAATTGCCCATGTGTATCACCAATAATAGTACATGGTGAATTTATTTCAACAACGTTTGGTTCTTGTTTAAATACTTGGCTTGCTCTTTGTAAAATATATGTCACAGCCTCTGTTGTAAATTTACCACCAAAAGAGAGGTGTTGAATAATGACTTGAATATCTAACACATCATTAATAACAATATCTTTTAATCCAAGTATGCTAGGAAATGAGAAAGGTATTTGAGAAATCAATAAATTGATTTCATTACACTGTTGGTGAACTGCAAAAGACATATATCTCTAAATCAATCAGAAAGGGTTTATTAATTGTACTATTTATATTTTTGTAATAAAGGAAAATAAGAAATAGTTCTTTTTTATTTATTTTTTTACTATTTTTTAACATTAGACACATAATAGACAAATTCTTCTCTTATAAAAATATTTCTTTTTTTAACTTTCTTCAGAAAATATTTATTAAAAAAATGTAAAAACTATAATAAATAATAAATTTATTTATTTAAAACTATATTTATTAGAAAGTTGTTAGAAATACAAAAACTAAATTGAAAGTCAATGATGACAATATTCTGAACTAATGATTCATCCCCATTACAACCACTCTTAAGGAATGACGAGAAATGATATTCCTCTCAATACATTTTCAGTCCCACTATCTTTAAATGAATTTAAACATATAAAGATTTCAACTATCTTCACTATCAAATCTCATTCCACTTATTTTACCATTTATTTGTAATGAAAATATAAATATTCGTTTATCAAATATATATTTCTTATTTGTATTATTAATCTCTGCATACATCCAAATGTATTTCATTGTTCATCCTCTATAATGAAAAAGAAATAACTTTTATTAAATATTATTTATTCAAACATAGAGTTATTAGTATTTCAACCCGACTATCAAATAATACATTTCCTAATTGTGAAAGAATAATTTTATCCTTTTCTTTCTTTTTACTTGTTGATTAAGTTTAGTATGAATTTCAAATAGGAATTATTTTTTTTCAATAAGTACATTTTTTTTTGGTTCAAGTTCATTTAATCCTTTTACTTTTTCATTCTGAGTTTAATGAAAATTGATATAAACAAATATTTCGGGATTATTTTATATAATCATATACTTTTCATAATAACCGATATTACTTTTTAGGTTTTTTTCCGAAAAGTTAAACCGAATTTTTATTGAGATTGTTTAACTAATTATCACATCTTTGACTTTTATTTTTTTTTCATTTGGTTTAATTTATTTTCAAAAGATTTTGTTAATAACATTATTTTAATATTTTTTCTTTTATTGAATATGATTTAGGTTGAAAACAATTATATTTAATATCATTTACATTTCATTTTAAAATAATATTATTTGTACATCAAAACACATCATTAACTCATTGAAATCATTTTCTTTCATTTTCTATTATTTGAGTATTTGTGTTTATCATTTTTGTTCATTGAAAATAACAGCCAAAATTTAAAAGTATAACCTAATCCTAATTGATGTTTTAATTTAGTTGAATATTTTTATCAATGATGATTAAAATTATAAAGTCATTTTGTTAATAACAAAAAAAAATAAATCAAAGATTTGAAATTAAAACAAAAAAATTTATTTTTTTGTTACTGAAATTAATGTTTTACATAAAATGAACATTTAAATAAAATTGATATTTCTTGAAACTGTCTTTTAAAAAAGTTTATGAATCATTTAAAAGATTCATTTTGTGAACCTTTAGAAGATTATCCTTTATAGTTACGAAATATCAAAATGATATAAAAAGGAATAATACAAGATCTTGATTCAATGGCTTGTCAATTTGTTAAAGAAGAGTTTCAAAGAATAAAGAACTTCTTGAATTTTGATGATAAACAAGACTATGAAGATGCTCATAGAGGTTTCATTGCTGATATTCCAGATGGAATAATCAAATCAGAGGATGGTTCTATTGTCTATAGTATCAATGAAACAAACTTTTTAGAAGATGAATGTCCAGAAACAGTTAACCCAAGTCTTTGGAGACAATGTCAGTTAAATAGGGTTCATGGTTTATTTGAAGTTGTTAAAGGAAAAATATATCAATTCAGAGGATATGATATTGCTAATATGACTTTTATTAAAGGAGAAAAAGGATGGATTGTGATTGATACATTATGTAGTGTTCCGGGATGTAAAGCTGGTTTAGAGTTATTCAGGTCTCATATTGACAATCTACCTATCACAGCTGTCATTATCACTCATTCACATGGAGATCATTGTGGTGGACTAGAAGCTGTATTAGAAGAAAATACTATTGTCTATTGGCCAATGAATCTTAGAGAAGAATTTGTAAGTGAGAAAATGCTTGCAGGAGTTGCTATGGATAGGAGATGTGTTTATATGTTTGGGCAGAACTTACCTCAGAGTAAAGAAGGATTTATTGGTTGTGGTCTTGGTCAAGCAGGATGTCAAGGGTCAAAAAGTCATTTAAACTGTAAAGAAATTATTGAAATTCATGAAAACAAAACTTATACAATTGATGGAGTTATTGTTGACTTTATCTTTACCCCAGGAGCAGAAGCACCAACAGAGATGATGATGTATTTCCCTCAATTAAAAGCTCTTTGTACGGCTGAGGAAATTAATAGACTAATGCATAATTTATACACCCCAAGAGGAGCTAAAGTACGTAATGGTAAATTATGGGCTGGGTATATAGATTATATAATTATGAAATATGGAGATGATATAGAAGTATCATTTGGAACTCATAACTGGCCGACATGGGGAAATAAAAAAATAATTGAATATTATGAGAAACAAAGAGATATGTATAAATATCTTCATGACCAAACATTAAGAAATGCTAACTTAGGTTATACTCCTAATGAATTACCAGAACATGTTAAATTACCAGAGTCATTATCAAAAGTGTTTTATAATAGAGAATATTATGGAACTGTTAGTCATAATATTAAAGCACAGTACCAATTTTATCTTGGATGGTATGATGGAAATCCTGCTCATCTTAATGAATTAACACCAACAGAGCAAGGGAAAAAATATGTAGAGGTTATTGGAGGAGAAACAAGATGTATTGAATTAGCTCAACAGGCATTTGAAAAGGGAGAGTTTCAATGGGCAATAACATTGTTAAATCATTTAATATTTGCTAACCCAAAAAATACTAAAGCAAGAGAATTAGCTGCTAACGTATATACTCAATTAGGATATTTACAAGAAAGTGCAGTTTGGAGAAATGAATATTTAACAGCAGCAATGGAATTACGTTCAAGTGAAATGAAGAATACAATTTCTATGCCACCAGGAAATGACATCAAACATATTAAAGAAAGTAGTCTAAATGATATTTTTGATGTGTTTAGCGTTAATGTTGATCCAAATAAAATTGATGGATTAAATGAAGTCATCAATATCGTATGTAAAGAATCCAATGAAGCAATAAGTGTTGTAGTAAAAAATAATGTAATAAATGTAAGACAAGTAATTTCTAAAAATCCAACAATAACAGTTATATCTACAAAACAAAATTTATTAAATCTTTATTCAAAAAAATTAACACAACAAGAATTTTCCAAAAATATAGAATTTAACGGAAAATTAGAAGGATTTTACAAACTTCTTGAATCAATTACAATTCCATCTCCAATATTTGAAATTATTGAGCCATAATTTTAATTAGACTAATGGAATAATATATTAATTATTGAATTATTCTTTTTATTAAAATTTGTTTTCAGCCAAAAAAAAGGTCAATTAATAGATATATCCATTATTTGATATTATGAATATTGAGAAGTAATTATTTCTTTTTTTCATTGTATTTTTATTTATAACTTATATTTATTCGATGTTATGTGAAAATTAGTCGAGTCTTTTATTATAATATTAGAAATGGTTTTGTAAAACATCAATTCTTTCATATTTTTTGTTTATTATTATTATTATTATTTTAAATGTATTATTGTGAATGTCTATGTGTATTTTCAGTGATTTTAATTATTTTCATATATTCTTTGTGCATTATTTATTGTTATTATTATATTACAAATACAATTTCTACATCTTTCATTTCTCTATTTTCTCTTGTAATTCTTTGTATTTATTTATTTTGTGAATATAATTTAATTCTAAATTATTATCTTGACATATAACAACATCTATAATATATCCTTTCTTTTCTGTAATATTTTGATAATATATATCTGGTCTTCTAGCATGGAAATGAATTGTCACTAAAAAATAAATCTTTAGTGCAAGTTATTACCATTTCATCATTATTAATACATTTTGGAGGATTATTAAAATCAATTGCATCAAATTCATTAAAATGGGTAATTAATATATGTTTAAATATTTGTTTATAAACATAATCATGTTTTAATATTTGATTCTTTTTCATTACAAGACATCATAACAGTATATGACTAATAGATGCAATTGTGTTATGACAATGTTTACAATATTTTAAATCATCATTTTTGAGTATTTTTGATTTAATATTTCCAGTCATACTTACAAATTCTTGCATCTTTACTATTTGGAGGAATGCATTTCTTTTTATATTTAATGACTTCCATGTGGTTATTGTTAATTTCTTATCATTGAAAGTGCCATTTGCACATCTTATATATTCACCACATTTCTTTTCTTTCCATTCATTTAAATATCTATCATTTAATTCATTAATTACCCATTCAAATACTTTTTTACATCATGTTTTCTTTCATTTAATTCTATTAGTTCAATTAATTCATTAAAATTAATTTTCTTACCAAATGCTTTCTTCATTCTTTTAATTATTCCATTTGGATTTTCTTTTATTGATTCTATCATTTCTCCTATTTCTGTGTTTAATAATTATATTTTAAATATATTCTTATTAATTCTTTACCACATTCATCTCTTGCTGACATTAATCCTAATCCCATTTCATTTATTTTAACATATAATCTACTTTTTGGGATATTTCTACTGTATAATTGGAGTTGTATCAATGATTTTCTTATCTGTTTATCTATCTTCTCCAATTCTCCTAACTTCCATTTGACAATACAAAATCCATATCTTAATTTTGAGATTATATCTCTATTAATCTTTCTTATTGTATTGAGGCTGCTATATTTCATAGTATTTAATGATGATAATAGAAGATACATCATTTAATATTCTTGTACAATATTTATTGATGTTTATTTTATCTTATATTTCAATACCAAGATATTTATAAGGATTATCATTAGTTATTCTTGGTAGTTCAGATAATTCACCATTTATTTGACTATTAATATTAGTCATTATCCCACTCTTTTCTACATTAATTTTTAATCCTATTGCATTAAATATTTCTTTAGTTAATTTGTGTGCTTTTTCCATTTCATCGAGACTATTAGTCATTATCTTTAAATCATCCATATACAATATGTGATTTAACTGGACTTGTTTTTCTTCTCAATTCATTTTGATATTTAATTTGGTTATTTGTTTATCTAATTGTTTAGATAATATATCAATAGATAATACAAATAAAAGTGGAGATAAACTATCACCTTGTATTATTCCTCTTTCTACATTAATTATACCCACACTTTCTTGACTATAATATAAATTAAGATGTGTATTATTTAATATATATAATATACTATTAATTACTGCTAGTGGGATATTAAAATATATTAAGCATTGTTTAATCTATTGATGATTAATACTATCATATGCTTTGGAGACGTCATAATATGTTTCTACCCACTTCCATTTATTCTTTAATAATAATTGTTGGATTATAGTGTTATATAATAATCATTCTTTTGATGATATGTGTATTTCTTACGTCCAATTTGATTTAATGATAGTTGTTTTTCAATTGGATTTAGCATCAGCTGGCTTTCTATTTTCATTTTTAATATTGATGTATACACTTTTAACAGACAATTTAAGCACGTTATTGGTCTGTAATTCTGTGTGTCTAATTTATCTCCTTTTTTATATATTAATATTGTTCTTCCTTGAATGAAATGAATATGTATTTCATTAGGATTGTTTAACCATTCATTAAATAATTTTAATAAATATTTCTTTGGTTGTTCTAAATATTTAATCAAAAATCATTGTATTTTATCAACTCCCGGTGCCTTCCAGTTAGCAGTAAATTTAATAGCACAGTCTAATTCATTGGGAGTGATTATAGCCATTCTATTATTAATTCTGTTTTCTATTAATATTTCATATAAATTAATATTCAGGAAATCTATATTAGTGTTAGTTTCATAGATTCCTTTCCAGAAATTAATAGTGGAGATATTATCTGGATATTCATCTTCTTTAGATTTATTTAGATGTTGCCTTTTTCCATATTTCATCATTTTATAATTCCATCTTATTCTTTTCAAATTATTCTTTCTTGCTTCTATTTCTATTATTTTCATCTTTCGGAGGTATTTATAATAGTTTATTTGCTCATTTGTTTTTATTTTAATATGATATATATCATTTTTCTTAATATGTAATATTCTTTTTAATTTCATATATTGTTTATTATGGAGTAAATCTCTTAATCCACATATTTTTGATTGTATTATTCTTTCTATACTTTTCTTTCAACTTCTTTCTTGTTTATTTTTATTAATGATGTTAATAGTGGAAGCTACAGATTTAATATAGTGGTAATATTCATCTAATGTATTTATTATTATTTCATTTTTATTAATAATATTAATTATTTGATGTACTTTCTTCTTATTGTAATAATAATTAATAAATTGTACTTCTTCTTGTTCTTTCTTTTATTCTTCTTTAAATATTTTCATTACTTCAAATTCTTCTATTTCTTCTTTCTTGTTCACTTTTGATATTATTTCTTTTAATTCATTATCTTTCCATTGGTGTTTTATTATTTCTTCCTCCATTATTCTATTGATTTCTCTTTTAATTTCATTCTTTATTTTAAATGTCTTCTTTATTATTTCTTTATATTCATTAATATCATTTACTTTAATTTCAAATTCTTGTATTAATCTTTCTATTATTTCTTCTTTAAGTTGACCTCTTAATTTTCTTTCAAATAATTTCAAAACAAAACATTTATATTGTGTTAAAATTTCTTCTTTTCTATCTGTTTGCTTCCATTGTTTTTTGATTATCTAATTCTAATGTGATGATATTCTTATGCTGAATATCAATTTCTTCAATGGATTTCTGCGTTAACTTTCTTTTTTGGAAGATCATCTTCACTTGATGATATTTCATCAGCTACTACCACATTGGGGGAGAGGTCATTTACTATTTGTGTTTCAGATGAGTCTGTTATATTGTAAGTTACCTCTTCTTTCTTCTTTTCTTCCTGTGTATTTTCATTTTCTAATTTAGATAATTTATCTTTCAGAAAGAGCAATTGTTGTGTTAAATTGTTTACTTCAGACCTTTTTCTTTCAGATTCAGCATGGAATTTGAATATTTTTATCACACTCGTGGTTTTTTGTGCTTATCTCATTCTCATGCTTCCTCTTTAATGTCATAATATCTTTTGTTAGTTTCTTAATGGTTTATTCTTTTATTTGTATTTCCTTTTTCATTTCTTCTTTCTCTTTCATATCCTCCTCCACTTTCTTTTCTATTTCTTCTATTCTTCTTTCTTTTTTACTGTTTTCTTCTTCCTCTTCATTGATCATCTTTTATTTTTATTAAAATCTTTATCATCTTTATCTTCATTTTCAATACTCATTACATAGTTATTGTATATTTTATTGTCTTTAATCTCAATTGGATTGTACTGATTATTGTCTTCTTCCATTGTCATACTAATAGTCTCTTCTTCCATTCTGATTGTTTTTGTTTTTTCTCGTGCAAGAAGATACCATCTTCTCTATATTGTTGATGATGTATATTCTTTAATCTTGGTATTTTTAATTTCTTCTATTTTATGTGGTGTAAATATTTTAATTTCTTCTTCAAAGAGTTTTTTCCAATATTCTTGGTTTTGTATTTCAATGATTTCTTTTCTTTGATTTCTATTTTGTTTCTTATTTTGATATTGTTTGTACCTTCTTTGTGTGTTATTATGGTATTTGTTTTTCTTATATTGATATTGTTTATTTCTATTGAAGTTATTATTATTAAAGTGTTTATGACGATGATTATAAATGAAGTGATGAGTGAAATAATTTGTATCATCAATGTTATGATATTTATGGTTATAATTGTTATTGAAATGATTAGTGTGATTATTCATGTATATCTGTCAATACAGATAATACCTATTTTCACTCATTCTTCTATCATTTATATTTCTTGGTTGATGTGAAATTCTTCTTTTTTGGTTATTTATTTTTTTATATTTTTTGTGGTGTCTCCTGTAATGCATCTTTTTATTTAAAATATCAGGTAAATAGTATGAAATAAATAAAAAATTAGTTAATTAAATGGTAATAGAATTTTCATCAATTCTTCACTAGTCATTGGAAATTAATCATATCACTGAGCTGTTTTAAAGAATAATCTCTTTTTTAACATATTCTTTAGGATTTTGTATGAGTATGAGAAAATTACTTCTTTCATTTACTTCTATTAAGGTTTTCTCAATTTTCTTTCTGTTTTCTTTCTTCTTTTTAAGCCTTTAATTTGATTTAATTTTAATGAATTTTATTTACCTCTTTTTCTTTTATGACACACTTTAG